GAAGACAAGAGGGTCGCTATGCAAAATGGTAAGCATCCCTTATCTAGGACAATGTATAACTAAAATAAACGTCCCTCGAGTGCGACGATTAAAAGTTTCGATCGTTACAAGGTTTTTTTATTTCTAGTTATTTATTAGAGCTATTCTATATTTTTCATTATATATTTTTATAAATCTCTATTATTTAAACGCCATTGATTCTCTGTACAATTAATTGATCTTATATGATAATTTTAAAATAATGTATTAAATTAATCAAAAAGTTCATTCAATTTTCTCTTTATCAAAACTATACAGAAAAGAAACAAATCAATTCTGCGATCAATTTGACAGAATAAGTTTATGTTTTATTACATTTATCAAAAATTTATCTAAAATTTTATCAAAGAAATGGAAAACAGTATCGCGTTTTACAAAAGTTTTACAAATTACACAATATTCCAACTCGCTTTTCTATTCTCGATTTAACTTCTTGCGAATCTTAGAAAACGATCTACAGCGAGGTCTGACCGTATTAATTTTTTAGACCGTGTCGGCGCCAGGACGCGCAAGGACGCCATTGAAAAGTCATCGATTTTCCGCGCCTCGTCGCTCGCTCGTTGAGCAAAGTCTCGTGCTTACGGTTAAATGAAGCGCGTATAACGCGTGTAAAAGAAGAAATATGTATATAGTAAAAATATATACGTATACAGGGAGTGGGATGGTCTTAGGGCCGCAGGCGCGAACGAATTAGCATGACATTTTAGCGCCGCCTTTCCGTATGTCTAAATTTACCTGAGCTTACTGTTAAAGCACGACCGAAGGGAGCGACTTATTATAGTTGCGAAAGATACCGAGCCGAGCGGATGATCGTCTACGCAAGCTGGTCGCAAAGCAAACGCGATGAATGTCAGTCGAAGTGAATTAAAAGTCACTTAAGAAACATAAAGAAACATAAAACGATCGCGGCCGCGCTAATTAATCCTTATCACTTCATTGCGATAACAATGCGAGAATTAAGAGTGATAAAAATATGTGGACGATTGTCTATGTATAATACGAGAATTTTTCACGTTTACGTTAAAATAATTAATAAATGCGATAACAGAATCGACTTCCGCTAATTCTCTCAATCAATGACGTTTTTCGACAAATATTTCGCTGTTGATAACAAACGCATAATTCTACACTTGGAAAAATTCCTTTCCGACGTAAATCCTTCTTCGAATCCTCATGCCATTCTCGACGACGCCACTCTGCTTTCAGGAATCATTAAAGGTGATGAGATTATGGTAATCAATGGCGCCATTGTGAGCGACCTGGATATGATGTACTTGGAGAGCGTTCTACAAGAGGAGGTGGGTCTCTGTATGATGATGCGATCCTCCAGGACAGAGCCACCGGATCTCACAGGTATTATGCGAGTTACCGACGATATAATCGAGAGTCTGGTTTGCCCGCCGCCACCCACCGATCCACCAGTCATCAGCGAGGAAATGATTTCCGGTCTTATTGTGCCGGCACCGGGATGGAGTGAGTATTTTTGCGCTGTTTTTTGAGAATTCGTTACATTAAGAACGATATTCCATTTCTGGATACATGAGCTTGTTAAATAAATGAGACGTGGAGAAGGCGCGAAAGTAGATCGCGATTACAGGAAGACGCGTCGGCCTTGAATCGGGATGTATCTCAATGTATCAAGCTGCAGAAATTATTTTCTCGTTTTTAATTGGCGCGATCTATATATATATATATATATATCACGTCGTAAATATGAATATATAATCTCATTACCTCTAATCTAAAATATAGAGATAAGGAAAAGTGATAATATTAAGCATCGCTGGATATTATTGTAAAGTCGATTTTTCAATGCAGCTTGAATTAAATTCGCATTACATATCGATTAATTTATTACGAAAATCTTTTCTCTAACGTATTATTTCTTATGATACAGATCATTTCTTATATATATTATATTTTATTCTTATAATAATAAATTATATCTGCCGTAAATAATAATACAATTTTTGCATAAAATTATTATCATTGATAAATATTAAATTGGTTAAATTTATCATGGCAATGACGTATTTTGTCACAACATAATGCATATCTTACTTTGTTACGCAGGTAAGGAGAATATTATGCAAGAATGCTCGGCTGCTCACATGGAGAACAGCAAACAAACCTCGCGCACCAATTCCTTCGAGATCGAAAATCTTTTGAAGACTGCCGAACAGGTGACAGGGATCTGTCGTTCGCCGGGAGAGACCAGGAAATCGAGTCCTACCGGAAGCGTCGTCAGTTCCCATTCGCAAGCCCTCAACACACCGAGTCGGCAATTAAGCGACGCTGAGAAGTTGAAGAAAGTGATTCTAGAACTGATTGAGACTGAACGGACTTACGTAAAGGTAATGACAGTTAATTGTCATACAATTATAATAGATTACGAGAAATATTTTTCGATAAACACAAAGATACACATATATAATTATATAATAATTATTTTCTAGATTTCTAATAATTATTTTCTAGATTTTATATTAAACTTTAAATATTATACTTTTTATATATTTTTTGTTTGTTGTATTCTTTAATTTAAATAATAACTCGATTTTAGAACGATATTCTAAGATATCTCGAATTGATGTATTTATCTTTTGACAGCCGATCGATTTAAGTCCAGGCGATCTTTTATACTACGGCGGTGTCGAGTGGCTCAATATTTCCGACTTCCTCGGCAAGATAAAGAAGGGTCTCGAATTGCACGCGATGTGCTTCGTATTTAAATCGGCCGTCGTGTTCCTGTGTAAAGAAAGATTGAGACAGAAGAAGAAACTCATGGTGACCGATATACGACATATGATTTAATTCTCTATATTAATTCTTGCAACATTCGTAATACTAAAGAGATTGCGTCGTGCATTTTTCAGGGAGTTTCGACCAAGGCTAACTCCAGCGAGGTAGAAATCATTCGTTATCAGGTTCTGATCCCGGTGACGGAAGTCCAGGTCAGAGCCAGCTCTGCCAAAGACATGGAGTCCCACTTCTTATGGGAACTGATTCATCTAAGAAGTCAATTACAGAGGAGATCGGAGAAAGTATACGTGCTCTCCAACAGGTATTTTTTATCTTATCACTTTTAATTAATCACTAACTTATAAGCGTTTAATTTAAAACAGATATTTAAATAAATTTCAATAAATTCTTTAAAACATATTATATTAAAATTGAATAAAATATTTTTCTTACGCACTTATTTTTATATATTTATAATATATTTGTTTAAACTACATGTATAAGAGTACAATAAAATAAAATCCACTTCCATATGTGATAGATAAATAATTATCATGATCGCACATTATTACAATCGATTATGTAGCTAACGCAATTTTACTAACGTTATTGATTGAGCGCGAAAATTGACAATATTGACAGATTGGAAATAAATTGTGAATAAATGAGATTAAGTTTCATTTAACTCGTGACAACGTCTTGATTAAATTTTCTTCGCAAATCAATATTTTGTCATTTTTTCACAATTTGCGTGAAAAAAAATTTATATGGTGTATTTTTCTTTCTTTCTCTTTTTTATTTAAAAATTATCTTACAAGATTTTTTTTTTCTTTTAAATATATGCTCTCCAACGACAATCTGAAATTGATTTTTTATATACTTGCACATTTTTGAAGACTGTTTGTTCAAAACAACATTTTTTCTCAATATACAAATGATTAAATGTGTCTATTTTACCAGATGTTTCGCTTAAATTTTTGCTTACAGTACGACAGAATTTCGAAACGCGTTCTTGAAGACAATCCGGCAGATCATCCGAGAGTCGGTGAGAAACATGAGCATACCCTCGACAAAGCAGAATATGAGCCATGCTCCGATGTCGATGGCGCCGCGTATGTCGACCGGTCACGTGGAAAAATTCGACAAGCAGCAGGTCGGTCAGGCTCAAAACGGAAACGGCAGCGTGATCATGGCTACAGGCACGCTCTCGAAGAAGGCGATGAAGCAGCAACTACTAGCCAATTCGCACAAGCGCAAGTACAGTCATTCCAAACAGCCGGTGGAACACGAGAGCTCAGAAGATAAGGACCAGGAGGATGCGCCAGTCGTCCAGCAGCAAACCACGTTCCGCTCCAGGAGCAAAACCATAAGTGACACTTCCAGTAAGACGAAAAGCTTTTTCTCGACTTATATCTTTTAATTTTAATTTCGGAGAAATTCTCTTGTTATAGTTATAGTCTTATTATAGTTATGTTCTCTTGTTATAATTCTTCTGTTATAATAGTATTATGTTATATATATAAACTAATATTTGTAGATATTATATAAACTAATTTTTGTATATTTATTATAAAAAAAATGAAATATAACATATATAAAATATTATATAATATATATAATATATAATATAAATATTTATTATAATATAAGTAAAAAATTAATTTTAAGGAAACTGATAAAATACAAGGAAAAAAAAAATGCAATGCAATCTGATTATAATTAAACATGCCATTGTTGATAAATTGTTGAATACAATGTTATCTTGTCTGGGGCTTAGGCGAAATAAAAGTCGAAATGGATTCGGGCACGAAGTCGGAAGGCGAAGAAGACTCGCAGGCTTTTTTAGGCGAGAAGAAAACAAATCTCGGCCGTACACCTAATCATCTGACGCTGAGCACCACATCGACCATCTCGGCGGGAAGCACTGGCAGCCAAGCTAGATTGATCCAGTCCTCCCATCAGCCCGAGAATTATCAGCCCATTACCGTCAAGGAACTTGGTGAGTGTATTGGTTATCGATATTTTTTTTTATTTCTAACGAGAGCGATTATCTCTAACTTTTCCCTAGATAATCTCTCTCGTCACAAAGTTATTCAATTGTTTATTAATTAAGAGTTGTTTCTGAACAACTAGCAATGAGTTTGATAATAATAAATAATTATATTTTAATTACACAAATACGTGATAGTTTCTCGAATTTTGCTTTAATGTGTTTTTATAATAGGATTTTCTTTTTCAAAAAATATGTTGCGCCGGAAAGAATTGATCTCTAACGTATTGCCGATGGCAGGTTCGCCGATCTGGAAACCACGGGAGTTACCCTCCCTGGGGGAGGCTACCACATTGCCGCGCAAGGGTAAGTCGGCCGGCGAGTTCGCGGACATGAGCTCGAGCCACAGCGCCTCCCGAAAATCTCTGATAGAAATCAACAATTGTGCTCAACAACCTAACTTTAATAATCATGTTTAAGTTGAATAATATCGAGGCTGACTCGCTAACGAGGTAATATCGTTATAAGTTCCACCACATCATCATTAAACACAACCAACATCCAACCACCACCACAACCATTACCAAGCGTAATACACAGAGATAATTGTCCAATTATTGCGATTGTCACGATATCGATACGCAAGAGATACGCGTCTGCCGTTCACGTGGAATTTATGGAAAAGACTGCACTTTCTCCCTCCGCTCTCTTCCTTGTTTTGTCTTCCAGCAGAAATCCGTATGTGCTTGCTTGCGTGTGTATGAATGTATGTTTGTATGAGAGATAGCGAAATGCTCGATCAGGCTTCTGCCTCGTTCTGTGGGTAAAATCTATATAGAATAGATCTTAAAAATATTTTTTTTGTTTTTGTGAACTATATTGTTACGTTTTTGTATGGTCAATAAATTTAAGTAATTAAAAAAATTAAAAATTGATTTGTAAAATTATGTTATTAATTA